TAGTGTTTTTGAAAGACACTAAGATAAAATTCGAGATAGTTAAACACCTAATTAAACAAAATTTTTTCTAATATAACCTACAAGGTTATTTCTTTTTTTTAAGTCTCTAACAGTGGATAAAAATTCTTGTCTTTGGTTAAGATAAAAATTTCGGAGGCAAGAATTACAAATTTTTAGATTTTGGTCACTCTCCTTTTCACATCAGTAATTCCAATTATTCTTCTTAGAATAATCTCTTTGAGGAACTACAAACTTTATCCAAAACTGATTTTGACATTTAAAACAATTAGCAGGAATAGGGTCTGGGAAGCCATTTCTATCTTCTCTTTTTTGTTCGTGGACTATTGGAGTTTCTATGTTATTTATTTTAGATGTTTTTGATTTATTGGGTTTATTTTTCATAGAGTCTGACATTAATTTTGAAAAATGCTATAGTAATCCTTTATTTCTCCTCCCAACCCTCTAAAAAAGAAGAATTCAATTATTACGACTTCTAACATGACTAATCCCGAACAAATAAAATCTAAACTTGGTGAATACACAGAAGCATTAGAACAACAATTAGAACCCTGACAAAGAGGCTTAATTTTAATTGCTCTGACTGCTTTCTTAGCAATCTCTATTTACTTTCTAACTAAAAAAAGAAACTCCTACTCCACGAGAACTAACTGACACTGAAAAGAAAAGATTAGAAGTCCTAGCAGAAGAACGCATCTTAAAAAGAGTAGAATTCCTAAACAAACTAAGACAATAACATGGTAAACATACTAGGTAAAGAATTAGAAAAAGAGCAAGAAGACCAATTAAAAATAATCGTGTTCTTACTATTTGCTGGTTTATTTTTTTACTTTAATGTTTATTTACCAGAACAACAAAGACAACAATTAGAAATGCAAATTAGAGAAACTATTAATAAAGTATCCCAAGCCCAACCCCAAGAATATTCTTCTTTACTAACTACTTGCCAAGGATATTTAAAATGAGAAAGAGAAGGTAATACCATTCAGCAAGAGGCATTGGAAAATATGAAAGAGGAGTTAGAGAAGGCTGTTAACTGACTAATCCAAGCAGAGAAAAATTTGGCTGATGTTAATCAGCAGGCTAAAACTGAGGAAGAAAGACAAAAGGAATTAAAGAAGCAAGAAACAATCAAAAAAAAGAAACTTCATTGAAGAAGAAACAGAGATAAAAAAAGTTGAACCGAAGATTGATTATCAAGAAAAAAAGATAGTTTCGAAAATGTCCTTAAAAGATTAGGAGGAGAAGAAAGTATTAATACTTTCGATGTTGCTGCTGATTACAATATCCACTTCCCTCCTTATCTTTGAAATAAATTAACTACTGAACAACAAAAATTAGCCAAAAGTAAAGGTCATGGAGATTTAGAACTAGATAATAAGACTAAAAATTTTAGATGAAATAAATCAATTGAAGACTGATATAATAAAGTAGTTGTTAATCCGGTTCGAGGTGAACAAGACTCAAAAACAGAAAAAGATAATAATGCTCTTCTTTACGGTGCGGGAGGAACCGGAAAAACTTCTATTGTTAGAAAATTGGCTTACTATGCTAACCTTTATCCGTTAATTGAAATAAAAGGTCCTGCACTTACACCCCGCAAAGAGGATTACTCTAATGGAATTGACCCTTTAAACAAATTTATTTTTACCCTCTGTGATATAGAAAATAACTTGGAAGATAACTATAACTTTGCACGAGAAACTAATGGCGAAATTCGTTATATACTCTTTGTGGATGAAGCAGATAATGTTTGTTCTAATACTGCTTTGCCTACTGAGTATACTAAACTAATATTCTTAAAGTCTTGTATGGAAGGAATAAAAAAAGAAGCCCAAAGTCAGAATTTATGGGTATTTGCTACTAACTATTTACACCTAATAGATAAGCCTGTTTATCGTCCAGGAAGATTAAGTAATCCCTTAGATTTTAGTTGAACTTTGGGTGATTTTAAATATTATTGCGGAAAAAAAGGAATTACTGGTCAGTTTCCTATTCATTGACATAAAACAGATACTTTGAATGAAGAAGATAATAAGTGAGTGAATAGGTTTAATACAATGAGTTTTGAGAGTGAGTTTTTGCCCTTTTGAAGAAAATTTATAACTAATTCTGATACAAAGGAGCAGTTGAATGAAGAAAAGAAAAAGGATGACAAAGGAAATGAAATTGTAATTAAAAAAGGTATTCAAGTGGGAGAAATGTTAGAGTTTTTTTGGAGATTGTTTGATAGTAAACAATTACCGCACTTCAATGGCAAATTTGAAAATCCTAGAAAGCCTACTAATGAGGAGGTTATTCCAAAAATCACTGAAGCAATTGATGTCCGTTT